ACTTAGTTAAAAATCTAATACATTGTGGACTTCAGTTTTTTGATATGTTCTATTATCATGATTATTATTTGTATGCTGCAAATCCAGGGTTTAAGTTTGTCCTGTTTTTTTTTAATTTATAAATGATAAAAATTAGAGAAAAAAACTTTCAAAATTACACTGGTTTTGTCGTACAAATTTAACATTTACAATCATACTCAGTCATCTCTGGCATTTCTAACTAATCATGACAAGCATTTTAAAAATGTATTAAGCATTTGTTTTTGCAATGAGACTTTACAATAGTCAGGACTTTACATCACCCTTTCAGAACCACCTAACTAAGGTGTTACATAATGTTCAACTAAAGACTATTGTTTTACCATATCATGCATATGAAAAACTAAGATATAAATCATTTGAAATCTCTTTTTGACTCTGATTCTCTCCTTATCTCTCTCTCTCTCTTTTTTTAAAATCTCTTTAGACTTTACACCAAAATATCTATACATAATTCAAAAAGAAAAAGAAAGGTTTACATGTGCTGTGCATATATATTGCATTTTGTTTGTTCTGTTTTCATAAATAAGTCAAATAGATATATATTGATACAAATATGGTTGTTAGACTACCTTTCAGGATAAATAATTAGCATAGGGGCCCAAAGTTTTTCATGTTCAAAAACTTTATATTTTTCTTGCTGTGCAACTGTATATAATTCTAAGCAATGAGACTTAGCTGACCTCAACATGCTCATCAAGTTGTCTTTTGCAATAAATCTAGTGTTTTGATATTTGGATTGGAGACCTGTTTCGATTACAGATCTTTTTTTTTGATAGTCTATGTTAAATTTATTTTTAAACATAAGGTGGTACATAACACTACAGGGAGAAAACTGTAAAAATCAGCTAAATGTTTTAATCACGTTCTATTGTTAAGGAAATATTAAGCTTCTCAATGATCAAAATTAGTGTTTGTCAAACTGCTATATATCCAATGAAATTTTTCCGATAAAGTGTGTGGTTCAAGTTTTATGAAATTTTTATATTTATGTCAAACATTGTCAAAGGGTCAAAGTTAATATTTTGTCAAAATTTTATGAAAATTAAAACGAGCCAAATTAATTTAAGATAAGGTGTTTGGTAACACCTTAATTTAACTTGAGGCAATTTAGACATGTAAGAGCTTGTTATATTGAAATGACGCATGTCTACTGTTGAAAACTGTAAGTTGACATCTAAATGTTTTTTTGGTTGTTTGTCATGTTTGTTTTGTTAGCTTGCCATCTTGTTGATACATAAATGATATTATATAACCAACATATCTTTAAACATTGTTTAATTTGTATCAAATTGATCACCATCTTTGACAACAAAATTTATCACCATCTTTGACATCAAAATTCTCAAACAAAATAACATTACAAAAACACTAACAAATAAATCCTTTAATTTTTATAAATAATTGTTACCTTCATTTGAAGAATCGTCATTCTGACTTAGCAGTGCAGATGTGTGAAAATTTCCTGGTGAACCATATTTTGATCCATCTAAATATAAAAGACGTGTTTTTCTTATCAAAGATTTCTTTGTGACCTCTAATCTTTTATACGTATAGAGCTGGCTTCTGTGGCTTATTTTTCTAATTGTTGACTGTAGATGCACACACTTGGTACACACATGTTTCGTCTTACTAATGGCTGACAGAAACATTCTTCTTACTGAAAAATATAAAATTGTAAGGTACATGGAAGTTGGTTCAGTTACTGGGGATTCATTATTGTTCGTTGGGTACCAATTTTCGTGGATTTCATGGATAAACATGATAAAGGTGAATCAAGAATTCAAATGTTCAACAAATCACAAATTTTTTATAGGAATGTATGCAGACTATAGAAAAACCACGAAATGAAATATCTACGAAAATGCAAGTTTTCTTCAATCCACAAATATTGTTACAGTCCATGAAAATAAATGAATCCACAGTATACAAGTTAAAAATTTTGCATTCAACAAAGGGACACATTTTTGTTTTACAACTGCAATCAAACCAAATTATATTTTTTCTTACAAAGTCTAAACAAAATAATTCTGTTTTCAAGTAGCTGAGAAAGTAAAAGGTGCATGTGTATTCCTATGAAATCACTAGCAGTTCTGTAAATAAAAGTAGGATATATACTATAAAGTTGTTTTCATAAAACATTTTCCTATGCTACACTTTTCCTGTTTTATCATGTTTATATATATCTATTCAAAATGTGCACTTTGTTTTTTATTATAGATTGTAAGTGGAGAAATTAAACTAATCAGAATTTCTAATTGCATAGACTATTATGTGACAAATTTAAACACATTATTCTTAATGGATACATGAATATTATAAGTTGGATATTGATATTTAGACAGCAATCCCTTGTATTTAAATTTATTTTAACAGAAGTGTATCTGGGTTGGAGGAAAAAAAAGGGGGGGGGGGGGGGGGGGGGGGGGGGTGCACTTGAATTGTCAGAAATGGTAAAATCATATTTAAAGAAAAATTTCCTATCAAAGGAGGGTTTACACCCTATGCCCCACTGACTGTATCAGCCACTGCATTAAGCATATCTTTTTGCAGTTGTATATATCTTTGTCAAAGTTGTCAAAAATATCTGCAAAGTCAAGTGTCAGAGTAGACAGACATTGGGTAGAAACTACAGCACATGTACACCAGGATTATGTTTATTCAAAGTATACCAATTAAATTTTTTCTATCTCTATATTGCAGATATTTCCTGATCTTCATCATGTTCATTTGAATTTTTATGATTTTGCAAGGCTGTTTTATTTCTTTTGCTTTGACGACTGATACGACACAGGAAGGCATTAAAGCAATAATAACCTCATATGGTCTGGAACATAAACATGCATGTTTCTGCAAGTATACAGTTTTATGGACTCTTTAGTAATATCATAAGCATCAGGTTAGGGAATGCAGGGAATGATGGTACATGCATGCATGCAATGACTCAGACTAGCTACTATTGTTAGCAGCTTTAAAACAGTTGTAACTATTAGTTGCCAATTAATTTTTGTTGAATGCTTTGACCCTGAAAGTGAAAAAAATAAAAAAGGTTTTTGAGAATCATTATATTTATATATAGGCAGTGTCTGCACGACCCTGCATGTGGGGACAAATAGCCAAATTGGCATTCGTAGGCTATGCGTACCAGCATCCGGTTTTCATAATTAAATGTCATCGGATCAGGAATTATTCTTGAAATATACATGGAAATTATCGGTAATTTGCGGATTTTGTGAGTTCATTGAAGACAACGGTAAATAGACTTTTTAATTTCTATTAATTAGTTAAATATACACAATAAACATTGCAAATTAGATGCACACTAAAGGAATAAAACTATACAGTCCTTGTAAAGAAAACATGATCAAATTAGAATTTAAATGTAAATGCACATTTTAAAAGAATAAAATTTTACTGAAAAAAAATGTAAAAACTTGAGTGTGAAATTTTTTTGATAATAAAATGCTAAACAGAAACTATTACAAATGTATTAAATGCTAAAATTTTAAGAAATCTTAAACAAATTAAAATAAAGGTTAAACCTTGAATGAATAGAAAAATTAAAGAAACAAGTAATACATTTAATAAGATCAATTTCAAATGTATAAAAATAGATGCATTTGATATTCAGAACTCCAGATTCATCCTTTACCATGTTTACTAACATCTACTGTTGCACCTGAAAAATAATAAATATTTCAGGTGTTCATATATCTATAGGATAAAATGAACAGTGTTATTATGATAAATAAATTAATTTGAATTATTTATGTGTAATATATACATGATATATGTATAGCTAATTTATTTTATTTATATATTTATTTTAAGAACTTAAACTGTTTTTATTTTGTTTTGTTTTTCTCACTTGCATGACTTGTTTGTAATGCTTTTTAATTTGATTATCATTTAAATTTTTCTATCATAGATTCCATTAAATATAATTATAATTAATACTTTACAATGCTTTAAGGGAAAATATTTAAAAACTAACCAGGGACGTTTCTCATCTCTGTTTGTAAAAATCAATTTATCCACTAATTGCAATAATTTATGCTTTTATATATAGCGTTTAATTCCTGATCCGATCACAATTAATTATAAAACCAGATGCAGGTATGCGTAGCCTACGATTGCCAATTTGGCTACTCGTCCCGACATGTGGTGTCGCGCACTGACACTGCATGCTTTATATTAGTCCAAATAATTATGACGTCTTGAAAGGCGCTATTATATTTTTTTTTGCTTTGACGCCATACAGCGACAGGCGTCAAAGCAAAAAAATATAATAGCCTTTCAAGACGTCATAATTATTTGGACTAGCCTTATTATATATAAGCTCCATGAACAAGTGGAGTTATAACCTTCATAATTTTCAGATACAGCTATACGACCAAATCATTGACACACAACATGTATCTCTTAATTTTGTTATATCTTATATGATAGGACTAGGTCATAGGTTTCCAAAATTTATGAAAGTAGAGACTAGAGTCTAGAGTCAAGAGGAGGGATACATTTTTCAACGAACAACTTGAACAAGTCATGTTGAGGAAGGTGTGTAAAAATAGTTTCACAAGTCAAATAAATTATTACTACAATATTTTTCTAGCAAAATGATTTCACTTTTCTTGTTCTTTTAACACTTTTGGTAACTTTTGCTTTGGTCCTGTCAAAATCCTTCATTGATGTGGTAAAATCTAGAGAAAACCAAGTGATGCTTTTTTCTAAAATCCAGAACCGAATGCCGGATATGAGCCCGGAATATTTTATTCAAATAAATTTCTACCTCATTTATTTCATAATTATGATCATATAAGTGCATCTTTTTCTCCAATTGACAAATGAGTATCGCTAAAATTACCACAATGATGCAATGATTGAATAGTTAAACATTGCTCATGAGAGTAGCAGATAAATAGACTACTCGGAAGACCTCTGTATTTGACATTCTTCCTACATTAGAATATTTGCAGTGTCTAGCAAAAGTTGTAAAGACTGAGTACAGTCTAGAAATTGATTGATGGTCGCAGATATTTGAATTTCTTACATAGTAACCCATATTTATAGGTATAAACTCATGAGACATTTTCTCAATCACTTAATGTTGATAAATCATGACATTATCAACAGATCAAAGCAAACCTTACACAGCTACACAAAAACCCATTGCATGCAGATATAATTTTATGAGGATGAGAATTATGCTACTCTATGACAATCAACAGAAATTTTATTGCTCAAATTTAATTAAAATAAACATTTTTGGAAAATTTCTCTGGTGACAAAGGCCTAGATCATAATTGTTTAATCAAACTGCATAACAAAAAGGGGGCGTTCGATGTATAATTGACGATTTGATTAACTAAATTAACGATAAACTTTTATGGTATCTACTATTCTTTTATAGAGCTTTCAACTCTCTTTTATGGGTGGCAAAAACGAAGAGGTTAAAGTCCATTATAAAAGCTATATTCTAAATATAATATATACATGATATAGTTCAAAATTGTTTTATGATCTGATTTATAATGAACCCACGCTTCATTTAATAATGCGCAACAATTTGTTTAGTAAAAAGAATAAAGAATCCAATGATGTGTGATTTATTGACTTGAAGTTGGATCTATTATTTCCAGATAAACATGATATAAATTATCCTATACATCAACATCAACATGATCAATAAATAAGTAAAATATTTTTAACTTTTTTTAATCAGTTTCAGACATTTATTGGCCAATGAAATCAATAGTTGGTTACAATCTTTGATTGTGTGATTGGTTGCTGCTTGCTTACTGTCCAGTATCATTTATAACAAAACTAAACTATCTTGAAAAAGAGATGTGAAAGTCTCCAGAGGGACATCAGTCAGGGGTACTACTTGTACAAGTAATTTTTATTTACTTGAAGAAGTAAATATTAATATACTTATGTAAGTAAATTTGTAGGATACTTATACAACAGTCAGAGCTCAGACATAAACAAGTCGTTTTTTGTATTCGACTTACATAAGTCAAAAATGGCATTTATCGTAAAAATGTGTTTTCATTTTCAGACTTATTTAAGTCAGAAAATGACAGACTTGTTTAAGTCTATTTATTTTTATGAAAAGACTTAATTTTATTTGCTGGCCAAAGTGCACCACCTATGACATCATAAACCTGTCTGAAAGTTCACAAGGACATGAGTTATCTATATTTAATTATCTAATTGAACATTTCTACCTAACATAAGATTATTTTCCTCATTTAGTGTGGCTATAGATGGTTGCATTGTAAAGTAAATAAACATTATTTCCGTTTTTTTAGGCTCTCATGCATATTTTTCTTTAGAAGACAAAGCATTGTCTTTCAATATTGTCATAATTTCATATAGATGCATGACCTTTATATAAATATGCATGGGTCTTGAAGGTGACCAATTTTGTTTACTTATCGACTTGTAGGAGTCAATATTTGCAACTTTTTAATTTAGGTCAAATATTTCTTTCTTAACACTAATCGACTTATTGAAGTCATAAATTGTCTTAAATTAAAGGGAGACAAATCTTCGAATCTACAAATTTAGACCTCTATGAGTCAAAAGCAGATTTAGACTTATTTATGTCAGAGCTCTGACTGTACAAGTGAATATTATTTACTTGTATAGGTAAAAAAAAAATTGGGCTTAGTTATGTCCCTTAGACATTCAGATTTTTTTACTTATACAAGTAAAAAAGTCATCCTATCTTCTTTTCTTGAATTCTTAGGACTTCTTTGCTCTTGAGAATTTTTAATTGTCTGTCCTTTGCAGATGTCTTTACTAATCATTTAAGTGTAATTTCATGGACAATGAAAATCTCATTTGTCTGTTATCTTCAGAACACTGCTCATTTACAAGCCCCCAAGGGGCAATTTTTGAAGGCCTTGCGCAAATACTTAAGATCTTTGCGCAATCAGTTTCTTTGTTGAAATGAGATGAAACATTGAACTCTAATAAAAAATTATGAGCTAAACTGAGAAAAATTGTTAAAGGCATGTTTTTCCATCTCAAAACTTGAGAATTTTTGTGGGATTGTAAAAAAAAAATTACTTATAGAAGTAATTTTTTTAGAAAATTAAGGGGAGATTATTCAAACATTATAATTAACTTATATAAGTATATTTTATTTACTTCTTCAGTAAATAAAGATAACTTGTACAAGTAGTACCCCTGACTGGACATTGAAACTCATAAGTTGAAAATAAACAGATAACGTCAAGGTTAAAAAAAGAAAAAGACCAACAGACAAACAATAGTACACATAACACAACATAGAAAACTAAACATTAAACAACACGAACCCCACCAAAAACTTCGGATGATCTCAGGTGATCAGAATGGTAAGCAGATCCTACTCCACATGTGTCACCTGTCGTGTTGCTCATGTTAGTACAAATCCAGTAATAAGTCTGGTTTGGTAGGTCACAATGGGAAAATCATCATCATAATGGATTTGCCAAAGTCTGTAAGTCTGTAAGTGACTGTATATTTTCTTTTTACAAGATTCTTAAAAAGAAACCATTGATTAAACATTTCTAAACATGTTTAAGTTTTTACTTCACCTGTACCAACAAAGCTCACGAAATTGATATCACACAAAAAATTGATGAATCCACACACAGTAAACATGTTAAACAATTTGTTTCTCTACGTCATCACCATCATATACATGTTAGATACCCTCTAACATCTAAGCTATGCTTGAAAATGTGAAATAATAAAAAACAATGACTGTTTATTTTTTTTACAGTAAAACTTTACCAGCATGAAATCCTTGGTTAAATTAGATTTGTTGGACGGGAATGGCTGCTTTCTGCAAACAGACTATCAGGATGATGGGAAATCAGGTTTCAAGCTTACCTTGATTGATGGCATAGATGTTTGGAAAGGTCAAGGTGAGATATTGACTCTGTTGAACTTGGTACGATAATATTTATGCCTTCACAAAATTTAATCATAAAATTTTTGTCAAATCTACAAAGACTACAATCAGAGCTTCCAGAAATTTGGTATCAATCTTCAACATGTTCAGATGGAGATGGTTTACTCTGTGTTTTCACATCCATTTCTCATCAACACCATATTTGCTGAATTCTTACATACTTTTACACATATTAAATTGCCAAATATAAAATTTCTGTACATTTTTTCTGCAAACCAGAGCTTAAAGAAATAATGTAGCAAGCTTCATGTCAGCATACTTTACCCTTAGATGCATTTTCACATCCATTGCTCATCAAATTCCTGTTACTGTGTTTAAGGAATACAGTATATTATTACTGTAAATTCAGAAATTATTGCATGCATTTATTATGATTTTTGTACTATGGACAAAAATATGAGATTAATATTGAGATTTCAGGGAAATCTTCATACAGCTATATATATATATAATGTCTAAAAATAGCAACAATCAACATTCATTCTATTTAGGTGTGGATCAACTCCTGAAAATAAACTGATACAGTTTAATACTAAATTAAAATTATTTAAATGTTTAAGAATATAACTTAAACACGCTAATTGATACATTAAAAAAGTTCTATTAGATTTTTAATAGATATAAGCAATATTTCGCTAGACAAACTAGCTTCATCAGGCGTGTACATCTATCCAGGTGAAATCGGATGCATGACAAAAATATTTTTGTAGCTTAAGCTATATATATACAGATAGGAGAATTGGAGTTTCTATTATTGCGATACTCACCCAGTTGCATTATCATGATTATTTGCATTAATAAAAATAATGCAATAATTTCTGAATTTACAGTATTTTTTTTTTTTTTTAAACTTTCAGTTTCTGAAGATGATCTAGATAATCTCAGATTAACTATCAAGATGGATCTAAATACATTTACTAGACAGACGTTACAGGCATTGACAAAATCAGGAGGAAAAGACATTGTTTTTAATTACCAAGTCAAACGTAAAAAAGATAACAGTATAGAGTTGATCTGGAAGAAACATGTTGCAGCAGAAGATATTACAGTAAGATAATAAGACATTTTAGCATGTAATACTCAATATACATGTGCCTCTTATTTACACTTTTACTTTGAATGTTAACCATGTATTCAGGAAAAATGAATTAGGTGGTTTAGGGGGGGGGGGGGGGGTATTAAACAGCATCTCATATTCTACCGATCAAAATGCATTCAGTAGTGGTGAAAAACTTAACCGAAAACATCCATGTTTTACATGTATCTGCTCACCACCTTCTACCTTGTCAGTTGCAAATCCAAAGGGTCCCAAAATTTTAGTCTGTTGATTAATTTGACAATTGTAGAGAAATACTGAAAAAATCAACAAATTAATGACATTGGGTTGAAATCAAGTACAATTTATTGTCAAAAAAATAAAGGTTTTAATTTAATATACTTTGATTCAGCAGAAAATATTATTTTATATGTAAATGATTCTTAGCTGCAAATCACACAACTATTTACATGATTTAGAAGAATTTTTGTCCTATTAAGTATTGAAAATAATTATGACATCTTTGAAGAAATTTATCTATGAAAACAAATACATTACAATAAAAGAAATATAATTAAAGAATAGCCATCCAGTATCCTTTCCTTTAATTTTTATATTTTTATTTAATTAAATTGTGCAAAATTAGAGTTAGAATGAAAAGTACATATGACCTTTTAATTTTAATTTTATTACATTTCAACTCCCCATGTTCATGATGTTCACATGTATGTATAGTTTCAGTTAGGCAGAGCTACACTCAAGTCCTCAACATCTGCCACTGATGCCATTAGTTCTGTCCTCAATTATTGTATTGAATGTGCAAAATCACAGCAGGTAGAAATAGCAACATTACAAACAGATAATGACAGATTGTCTCAAGAAAGAGTTAATGCTTTAAAGGTAGGAAATTTGATTTTTTTCTTTTGCAAAGCTTTCTTCTGGTATTTTCCTTGTATTTTATAAGATTATTTTCTCATATACATCTCAATATCTTGCATGCCTTGTATTTTATCATTTGTTTCCCTTATTTTTTGTATAAGCATGCTTTTCCATGCACTTCAGTACCAACAAATTTAGAAATTTTCTGTTATATTTGTTTACATTTTAAAGTTGTCACTCTGTTTTAAAAGTTCTATTATACACTTTCCCCTCCCCCTTTTCCACTTTTCATTTATTGCTTACTCTTCTTTCCAATATTTGTTTGAGCAAAAAATTCTGCAATTCATATATGGTGCATCAAATCTCTTTGGCTTCTGGAACTTTTGTAGAAAATGTGCAGTAAACCATGTCCATCATTTCCTTTTTATAAAATATTAATGTAAAAAAGTCTGACTCAGTACTTTGTAAACGTTTTGATGCCTTGGTATTTTTAGGAAAGAAATTGCTACTTCAAGGACATTTTACTCCAGTACATGAGTTGATCTTATCAAAGAAAATGCATTTAAAAATATATTTAAGATTTTTTAAATCTTTTATTTTAGAGATTGGAAAAGTGTGTTGTGGCAAAGGAAGAATTAGAAAGGGATCTTTATTCTAAAGTAAGGAAGACAAACTATACATTGTATATCAGTATAATGAGGGCCTAGATTGGGTTTACAGAATAGAGGATTATGGCCCAAAGTTAAAGAAAAATGGACCAACAAAAATAAAGAAAAGGGAAAAAATAGGCTAAAAGAATGAAAAAAAACCAGAATAATAGGAATCTAAATACATGAAATAAAAGTATAGAGAATAACCATGATAACCAGGGGGAAAATAAAGAAGAGAAAATGCAAAAAATTTAAAGAATACAAAAATGAAGACCCCAATCTAGACCCTTGTATATTATGAAATAGTTTTAGGATAAACACTATTAGTGAAACACCAATAACTTTCATATATACTCAATTTTATGATAATCAGCCAAAAATAATCAACAAATATGCATTATCCAAAAAAATTCTTGGGATTCAACAATAACGAACGAACATGTTTACAGTGTGTATATATTTACTAATGTTTACTTATTAAACTTTTTTTATTTTAGTTTGCAGCAATTTTAAACAGTAAAAAAGAGAAGATCAGAGAATTGAAAGAATCTGGAGGTTTGTTTGAAATCAATTTTACCAAAAATTTTGAAAAACAGAATTTACCCAAGCTGATTTGTTTTCATATTGATACAAATGTATATTTAGATTTTTACCCTATGCCAGTAATGCCACTAACTACCTTAATAAGGGTCTGGATGGGGTTTACGGAATAGAGAAAAATGGGCCTAAAAAGTAAAGAATAGAGAAAAATAGAACAAGAAATAAGGTATAAAGAATAATGGGTGTTAAAATATAAGGAGTAGAGAATAATGGGAAACAAATTTAAAGAATAGAAAGAAATAACCTAAAATTGAAAAAAAAATACTGAAACGAAGAACCTCCAATCTAGACCCTCCTTAATGGTCTCAAAGAGCATGCTTACCTGGAGTGCAGAAAGTCATGGAGACATGCGACAATCGGTCTGTATTAACATATATATTACAGAAACAATTTGATTATTTGATAATAAGGTTTTAGAATTAATTGTGTGGAATCCTTTGCAATCCTTTCAAAATTATTTAATAGCATTGATAAATTAACACTTAGTTCAAGAAGTAACATTTACTGTAGAAATTGCAATTGTTGATCAGCAAAAAAGAGTGCTACAATAATCATTGCAATTTCAAAAAATGCTGCATGCAAAAAATTGGATCAGATTGAAAATAAAGGAGATAACCTCCAATTTTTGGTAGGGTTCATGTTGCTCAGTCCAGTGGCAGATCCAGAAATTTTCATAAGGGATGGGCCCACTGACTGCCTAAGAGGGGGCCCGCTCCAGTCATGCCTCAGTAATTCCCTATATAATCAACCAAATTTTTCCCACAAAAGTGGGGGGGGGGGCACCCTGGGGCCCCCTAAATCTGCCTCTGCAGTTTATCTATGTTGTGTTTTGTAGACTTGGTTTTTTCTTTTGGTCTTTGTTTGCCTCGGCATTGTCAGTTCATTTTTGACTTGTGACTTTGAGTATCTCTTTGGTATAATCTGCCATTTCTTTTCTAATTTATGCAATACTTATCCTGTTATATTTTGCATACTGAAAAAAAAATTCTTTACAAAATTGAATTTACTTTATTTTGTAAAGTTTTAGTTGATGTACACATTATGAATCTTTTAAGTTACTGTTAATGGTTAATTGTTCTTTACAGGTGTTGCAGTAAATAATGGGGAACCTGGACCTTCAAGAACAACAACGCAAAGTAGTAAACGTCCAGCAAAAAAGATGAATTATAGGTAATTAACTACAGAAAAAAGACAAGTGGCAATAAACTTTAACTTAGAAAATTGGAAACCTTTGAACTCCTCTCAGTCTTTTTACAGAAATGTGAAAAGATAAGAAACTAAGACAGCTGTTGATAAGTTAGACAAATAGAATAAACTTTTCATGAGCCAAATATCAGAAAATAAAAAAAAAAACATTATGACGAACTGTCCTTCATATTTGATAAATCTTTGTTGTCATAGAATATTTTAGCCTCATCATAATATTTTGCTACCTGAGTGTTTATATAAGCCAGTTGAAGTAAAAGGCACTGTTTATCTGTCCATACTTTCTTTCTTTGTATATTAACTCAATTTTAATTAGATATAAGAAGATGTGGTATGAGTGCCAATGAGACAACTCTCCATCCAAGTCACAATTTGTAAAAATAAACTATTATAGGTCAAAGTACGGCCTTCAACTTTAAGTTCACTTATTTTTAACATGTTTAAAGAATTTAAACTTGAATAATAAAAACATGGTAAACATTGTTTAAAGAAAGCCCATTGATTTTTATTTTGGCAAATTGTCTTAGTTTTAGAATTATGGGACTTCTATTATACATATGGAGGTATTTAACACAATATTAATGTCAAATAAGCTTACTGCATGGCAATCATAATCACATCTCCTTAAATTTATTTTCATTTAATACTTGTATCGCTAATTTTCATAAATTTTGTTTTGAAGTTTTAGACTTAAATTGTATGGAAGTTTTTATTTTCATAAAAAAAATAATCAACTAATGAGAGAGAATGGCATTCTTTCAAGATTTAGACTACTTTGCTGTTTATAATTGTTTTTCAGCACAATGCATCAAATATATAATTTTTTGTATTGCTACTTAGTTTTCCTTAACCTTGGTTTTATTATAACTTTCATTATTGAATTAAAAGCTGAACTCGACTCATCCGCATTGACCTGTTAAAATGAATACCTGTAGGTTGCACTTCTGTAAATATAGACAATGCAATTTCCCATAGGAACTCCCTTTACGGCTGAAACTGTGCCACTTTTACTATGAAGTTTTGTAAAAAATTATATCCTTGAATGGAAAGTTGATATGCACTCTTATTTTATTCAAAGGTCAAAACATAGGGCTGTGTGGCATATTTTCAACATTTATATGCCCCGAACTTATAAGAGTATAAACTTATATTAAAATTCTGTACTACCCCTCCCCTTCACTTTGGGTCTTCCTCAGAATTCAATTTTTAACACTACCATGTGTATTTATACTGGTAACATTCCCAAGTTATTTCTCTAAGAGATGAAACATAGAGATCATATCTGAGAACCAGTACGTAAACAAAACAAAATATCTATGAATATTATATATCTCCCCAAAAGAGGCATGGTTTGTGAAACAGCTGTATTTACAAAGTGCAACCTTCAAGCATCACTAAAAGATTGGGTTTCCAATTGTAAACATGGTAAACACTTTAATAGTTTTTTTCAGATTATTTTTAATTTTTTTATATTTTTCAAGAAATTTCAACCTGCCCTTTCATATCCTATGTAACTGTGAATTTGACTTTACATTTTTTGACCTCCTTGTCTTTTCACAGATAAATTTATGTAATAAGCATTTTTCTAATTTTTATCTTGGTATTTTCAGAATTCTTTCTTTCATTATTTTGTGAACTATTGCACTTAGTGATTCCATATCATTAACATAATAAAAAGCTTTTATAATCATAAGTATTTTCATGTTTTATAAATAGTTGGGAAAAAAATTCTTTATAAATTTACTTTCAATGATATTTTTAGAAATTTTAACACAAAATAAAGCTTGTTGAAAGTTGCTTCCTTGTTTTCTGATTTGATATTGATTTAATAATAATAATTAGTTTGTGATGTTAAATATTGTAAAATCAGGAATTTTTGCAATGTTTTTATTATTGCGAAAATTGCACAGAATAGGTACATCTGTATCACAAAAATGAAAACTCATATTTTTAATTTTTGTCTCACCAGGGATGGAAGTCACGGAAAGCGAGACATAGGGATTAATTGCTTTTCTGGCAACAGCGGTGGTGTCAACAATTGTTAAGTTTTCTGCTTAAGCTAGTTTGATAGGAACTACTTGTGATAGATCATTGATACATGATATAAAGTTGCATTACTATCACTCATAAGTACATCTCAGTTTGGCGACCATTTCATGGCCCTGCCCACAAGATCATGGTACAGCGACTTTGAATTAATAAGCAATGTTGCTGTCTTTCAGATTGCCTTTTTCTGAATTTTTTTCATTTATTTCAGTGATGATGAAAACACTACTGATGATGAGGGGGTAAGTTACAGTGCTATATATTATATGGAGATTAAATTTAACCAAACAAAAATGTTATTTATGAAAATTTGAATAAATTATATGTATCCTAAACTTTTGAAACTGATAGGAGAAAAAATAATATTTGCATTCAGATTCAAATTTAAAAAGCCTTGATTATAAATCTTTGGAACACAGATCAGAAATAAATAGTTTTTGTTTTTGTAAGAATCAAAGGAGTAGTTCCTGTAAGGGCTGATTTTGGCCTCAAATTTCAGGTTCATCTGATGAAAGATTTTGGTCACTTTTTAAACACTTAAGTGTCTACTTCAGTCCATTTAATTAGTTTATGTGACAGATTTGAACTGATTTTATCATTAAAGACGCTCAGATTCAAGCTTAAATATGAAAAATCTATCAAATATGCCATAATATGTCACTTTTCAGATGGTTTTTGTCAAAAATGAAAGTGGCCGCATCCGTGTTCACTCTCAACCTTCATATATGTTATGTATTATCAAATACAACTTGCATTTAAATATTAAGAATGAACACAAATGTGGCCACTTTAAAACGGAAACCTTCTAAAATTTAACTCAAATGCTAAAATTGTGAAGATTTCAGTAATTTAGCATGACTTTATGATGCTAGTACCCGATATATATGCATTGTATTGTCAAAAACTGCCCATATTTATGTAGCAGAAGTATTCTACTTTCCAATAAATAGCTAAAAGTTTACATTTTAACAATTTTGTAAAACTGCTATATTTTGGGGCCAAAAAGGGGTCTTACTGGGCCTACTCCTTTGTTTAGATTCAGAAATGTTATGCTATGTTTTTATTATTAAGGTCTGAATTTGTAGAAGGGTCAATTTCATTGTGTTATACTGTAGCCCTGAAACACCTTTTGCAACATGGGGGAGTTAAAAATTCTTGCTGTGCGATGTTGTGTGAGAATGTGATTAATATTTGAAAAAAAAAAATATATAGATATAAATCAGTGCACTCTTTGAAGAACAATAAATTACCTTTGGGAGCTCATCACTCTTTGGTCCACAAATTGTCTAAAGAATATAAGAACCATAAGAGCTACTGTTCAACAGCTACACAAGATGAATGAACACCAAATCACTCAATTTCCATGAGGTCATTGAAACATAAAAAAAAAATGTACCATGAAGTATTTTTTAAATATTTTAACTTTTAATGTTATTCCAGACAATTGAAGATTTAAATGTCATCTATCTTCTTTTGAAAATCACTATGATAAATTCCAACTGGTTAACATTAGATTCTCTTTTCCATGAATTATTTTAGTTGTTTTTTTGAAGACGTATATTGGTATCACGTTGTCGTCGCCGTGGTCGTCGGCGTCCAATGACAGTTGGTTTCCGGACAATAACTTTAGTATAATTAAATAGAAATCTATGAACTTTAAACACAAGGTTTATAACCACAAAAGGAAGGTTGGGATTGATTTTGGGGGTTATGGTCTTAACAGTTTAGGAATTAGGGGCCAAAAAGGGGCCCAAATAAGCATTTTTTCTAGTTTCCAGACAATAACTTGTGGAACTGTGTATGGATCTCTCTGAAATTATACCACAAGTTTCCATACCACAAAGGGATGGTTAGGATTTGCTTTGGGGGTTATGGCTCAAACCGTTTAGGAGTTAGGGGCAAAAAAGGGGGAAAAACAAGGGTGTCCTGGTTAATGGACAATAACTTTAATACAAAACATAATTTAAAGCAGTGTAAGGGAGGTAATTCAAACTCATCTTTTGAATTACCTCCCTAACATTACTTTTAAATGGTTAATAGACAATTACTTAAGACAATTTAAAAGCAGTGTAAGGGAGGTAATCCAAACACAATGTTTTGATTACCTCCCTTACTCTGCTTTTAAATTATGTTTAAAGAAATGCATATTTATAAAGGAAGACCAGTAAAAACATTTGCAAATGTTGCATCTTTTATTTTTTTACAAAAAATCCATATGAAAGATTTGACACCATATTTTATATTCTATTATAAAATAGATTAAGTTACCACTATGGTAAATTTAAATGAGTAATTATGGTTGCAAACTCCATTGGAAATTTGAATTGAGATTATGACCATATCTTGAGGTAAGAATTTTTTTTTTGGAAAAAGGGAAAGGGGGGGTGGTGGTAAAAAAGAAATTGTGAGAGGGGAGACAATTTTTTCTCATTTCAGATTTCAGAAATTAAAAAGAAAATTTCTTCAAATATATGTGTCAAATATTTAATTACAATCCAAATTCAGACCTGTATCAAGCTTGAATATTGTGTCCATTTTTGCCCCAACTGTTCAGGGTTAGACCTCTGCGGTCGTATCCAGCTGCACTCACCGAAGCAATTTATTTTTATTCTTTTAAGGTCACACAACACAGTAAGAAAGCAAAGCAATCAAATCGATCAATGGACGATGATTCCTTAGTCCTCGAAGATGAGCATGAAGACAAACCAAGAGCTGTTGCAAGGTTTGTTTACAGTTTTTTCATAGTTGTGACAAACTATTGAGCCCATGATTCAATGTTTAAATGAGTAAGTTCTAGCTTTGTGTTTCTTACATAGAATAGTAATTATACCCCGCACAATTTTTGCGTCGGGAATAATGTTTTTGACCCATCTGTCTGTCTGTCTTTCCGTCCTTCCGTTCGTCCATCCGTCAGTCTATCAGTCCTGTTCTTGTCGCAACTCCTCTGAAACCACACAACAGAATTTCATGAAACTTTATAGATAATAAGGACATACTGGCTGTGTTCGGATATACGCCTAAGGCAGCCTATGGTTAACAATAGATACCTTTGGGTACCCATGGTTTGATATTTTGATATATAAAATATCAAACCATGGGTACCCGAAGGTACCTATGGGTAACCATAGGCGTATATCCAAACACAGCCTATATGTAGATGTGCATATGGACAGGAAATTATGACTCAATTTTTTTTCTAGGAGTTATGCCCCTTTGCATGATTTTGTCTGCCAAGTGACAATGTGGGGGCGTGGGGTATGTGAGTGCGCTCACAAAGGTTCTTTAATTGTTGTTAGGGTTAGGAGGCATTTGAAATGATAGATGCATGCTGATTGTAATTTCCAATAGAAATACTTTTAGAATTGTATAGAATTAAAAAAAAGTTTAATATTGCATTAATTAGAAATCCTTCATAACTAACCTCCCCCCCCCCCCCCCCCCACACACACACACAATTGATGAGCTTTAATTTAAAAAATACTATAATTATGAGTACTTGCAGTTCTTCACATCTGAACATATAAATGAGAATGAAATAATAAAAATTCTTGAGTATTTGCCTGATTTAAAGTTTAAAAAAATATTATTTGCTAATTTATCATAATTTTCCAAATTTAAATCCAAATAAACAGGAATTTAACAGTTTTGTGTAAATAACACAAAAACACATTTACATGAACTATGCATATTTATATTCAGAATGTTAGAAATATAGAGTTATCTCCCCTATAAAATATTATATTTACTTTCTTGTTTCCCAAAAAAAATTATATCATGTTATAATGATTGATGTGGCTGTTCCAGTATTTTCTGGACATATATAATGCATGAGAACATCACACAAGTTTGTCACATACACACATAAATGAAACAATATATAAACAACACATAGCTGAGAGGGTGATAGAGCAGATTGTTATCCCAAGAAAACATTGTCAACAGAGACGTCTTTTCGAGGGGTAACAATCTGCTACATCACCCTCTCAGCTATGTGTTATTCAATTTATTATACTGAATGTTCTGTTATTACTGTCTATTTAATTTAAAATTTAAAGTAATAAACTATGACGTATGTACATAACAATCGTCCATACTTGATAAAGCGCACAATTGATCAAGCATTTCCGTGAAGGGTAATATTTGCCATGGGATAGAGTATATTGTCTCCCTCGTATTAACCAATCAAAATCTTGCATTTTGACATGAAGTATAATAATATAGAATCTTCCTTGCTGATGGGAACCAAGTCACTGAAGGGGGATTACACTCAGATTATTACCTACTGAATTTACATAGATTTAAGTGAATCACACACAATTACCACGTTGAGTTATTTTTTAAGAAAACAACTTTTGTATACTATTTGTATTTAATTTTATACTTTATAGGCCAAGACGAACCAGGGAGACAAACAAGAAAACACCTAATTCTAAACCAGTTCTACCTAAAGTTTCCTCAAAGGATTCAAATACAAGGTACTTCCATTTGAATAGATTGCAATTTATCAATATTCTTCCCTGCAACCCTTGGATCTTATCAGTACAAACTTAGACTCATTCATCCATCATAATTTAATAGTGGTATAAGAAGTATCACATTCTACTTCATTTATTAAAAAACAAAATCTAGCTCAGTGTGTTGGTCTAGTACAAAGCAGAAATTATATTCATTTCGCATTTACATGTTCTCGTCCTGAATATGCATTTAACATGCCAACTTGCCACTGGAAGTTAAACAGTCATCCATCAGCATCATCCAAAATGAACTTCATTGCAGTTCAAAATCTTGCTTCCATATAGCCTTTTTTAATGCTACTGAATAAAGAAAACAACAATTAATTGTACAACATAGAATCCTTGGGTCAAGGCCTAGTGTAAAACACAAGTGCAGATGAAAGGACGTGGTTTGACCACCAGTGTGACAGCAATCCAACAATATAATAAAAGCAGTCGGAAGAGATGTTTAATTTTTTGGACAAGGGTCAAGGGTCATTTATGGTCGTATGTACATTTGATATGAGCAAAAGTTTTGGAAGAAGACAGTATGTTGTAAGTCCCTTCCTATCCTCCCACAACCATCTTAATGGAATAGTCCTAAAGCAAATTTGTCATGTGACACTGTACAGAAATTTCAGTTTGTCTCCTGAACCACAGAATTATATCTATTACATTTATGTTTGCTGCTTTAATAGTTGTCATATACATGCTATTCCATCATCATACATTGAAGCTGTTACATTGTTTTCTCCTGTGTATACTTTATGTTGAGAAATGTGAATAAAATGTATTTGTTAAAATGGGACAGCAACCCAACAATAATATAACCAAATGACATCTAGATGGTAACATACAGTCTTCAACAAGTGTCTTTACAATAAGTCAAGCTCTAAATCAGGGGTGGGTCCAAGTGAGGGCGTAATGTTTTGATTCTACGCCCCCTCTTTCAAATATCCTAGAAACGCCCCTGTAAATCCTCCATAGTTGATAAAATTTGTAAATAAATTAATCAGAAACTACCAAAGATCTATCAAAAAAAAGATTTTAATGTAAACAGAATACAGTACTTCAATATGTTTGTGCTATAGCTTCCAGGAGGTAAAAATAGATATGTAAATTGACATTTTGATAAACTGATTATTTCTCTTCTAACAAATTAGCTATCTTTAATAGTATCAAACTTCTCAATGTAAATGTATTATTTATTTGTAGTTTATCAGAAAGACCATCAACAAGTAGATCATCAGAGAGACCATCAAGTACAAGGAAATCCAGGGCATCCTCAGGCAATTCATATGACAATGATGCTGACGCCATGCTTGATGAAATATAATTGGTTAAAATAAAAATGCAATTGTGATTTTTTTGTATTTCAGGGACAAATTGATTACTGTATCAAATGAAAACCATCAAATTTATCTTTTGTGGATTCATTTATTTTCGTGGGTACCAATTTTCGATGATTGAGGAAAACTTGCATTTTTCTGGATATTTAATTTCCTGGTTTTGCCCAAGTCTGCTAACAATTCTATAGGAAATTTGTAATTCGTTAAACATTTAATTTTGTGTTCCACCTGTAACCACTGTAATCCTGGAAAATTGGTATCCAATAAATAATAATGAATCCACAGTGTTAGGTATTGCTGAAATTAATGTATTAGCTTTACATTATCCCACCATTGATTTTTTATTTCAAATTTTCTGAATATATATCCTTTGTATTTTGACATAGTGATCCAAAAATGGAAATTGAATTCTACTGAAATGTATTCAATAATACAGGGACTAAGGGTGATAAACCAAACTCTACCTGTATGACGCAAAAATCTTTTTCTATCTTGTGTATGTTAAATTATGTGTTTGAAAACTTATTTATCTTACCTCCTATACATTTCTAGGAATATGATTGGTTAAAAGTAACCGTGTGGAGACTCTGTATATTCCATATTAGGTTAGTAGGGTTCCATATTAGGTTAGTAGGCGGGGTTTATTTCAATACATGGTTAGTAGTGGTGTTACGTCCCTTTATAAAAACAACAAGGTTTTGAGGTAAAATATTAAAGGTTTCAGCAGATGAAGACATTGATAATGAACGATTGAACTAAATTCATAAAACACATGAACAGCTAACAAGTTGTTATTATTGGGATTTGTTTTTGTATAGACCATTGAAAGAATAGGTTCTCAATACTAACGGTATTGAAGACTTGATCACTTTGATAGGCCACTAGTCTAAATACCACAATGTTAAGGTAGTCGGTAAGATAAATTCTGACATAGTGTGCTAGTGACCTAATGTGATATATATGGGGTCAGTAAATTCCATATGGTGATTCGAGCTTCACTCTCACCCTATATGGAATTTACTGACCCCATAAATATCGTATTAGGTAACTAGCGCACTATGTAACTAATAATATTTTTTATTTAAGACTCATACTATTTATGATAATCATGGATTTGCTACCATATGTAACATTTTTTTTACATTCATCACATGTATAGTTGATATACATATATCCTTGTATTTATAGTAGCTTTACTGTTTAGTATATATGTAGCATATGTGTGAACTCCTTTGAGAAATAAATTTTGTTTATATTTAATGAATTAACCACTTGAACAAATCAATTTGTTAGCAGATTATTGTTAATATTCTGTGGAAATAGTTTTATATAAGAGTTTTTTTAGTTAGATATTAGACAGATTTTATAGGTTTTTTAAGAGATTTATAACAAATGAATTAAGATATTTTCAATTTTTGGTCAAAACAAAGAATTCAAAAAGCTACTTTACAATGATATTTCCAGTACAATTGCTTTGATTGTTGTTTGCTCAACATCCAGTAGCAATATAGATATTTTCTATGACAAGTATGAAGACTTTTTACATTCAGTGGCAATACAGATATTTTCTATGACGACTTTTTTCCCTTTTTGATTGATGGACATCCAGGATGACATGCAGTTGTAAGTTTCCTGTAGTTAGTATATTTTAACCATTAACAAGAAAACAAATATGTTGAATAAAACAAAAAAGCTTTATTGAATAAAAGACTAGATATATTGTTTAAATAATATCAAGATATAACATAATTATACATGTATTTTAATTCTAATTCCAGAAAAAGCTATGTAAAGGCAGCTTAAAATAAAACCTTTTCAAAATTTTAATGTTTTGTCACTTTATTTTGTTGTTCAAAGTAAAATATTACATTTTTATACGACCACAAAAATTTTTTTGGGTTCGTATAATGCTATGATGTCGTTGTCGTGTGTGTCGTCGTCCGAAGACACATTTGGTTTCCGGACAATAACTTAAGTTTAAGTGAAAGATCTGTATGAAATTTTACAATAAGGTTCAATACCACAAAAGGAAGGTTGAAATTGACTTTGGGGTTATGGTACCAACATTTTAGAAATTAGGGGCCAAAAAGGGGCCAAAAACAAGCATTTTTGTAGTTTCCAGACAATAACTTGTGTGTAAGTCTATGGATCTCTCCGACTTTGTACCACAAGGTGCCAATTCACAAAGGGAAGGCTAGGATTGAGTTTGGGGGTAATTGCCCCAAACATGCAGGAATTAGGGGCACAAAAGGGGCCAAAAACAAGCATTTTTCTAGTTTCTAGACAATAACTTGTGTTTAAGTGCATGGATCTCTCTAAAATTATACTACAAGGTTCCATACTACAAATAGAAGGCTTGGGATGAGTTTGGGGGTAATTGCTTCATTGGGGGGGGGGGGGGGGAGGGGGGTTCTAATTTTTTGAAGGGATTTCCTTTTTTTTTTTCAAAATTTTTCAAATTTCAAATTTTTGAAGAGTTTCAAGAAGAAATCTTCAATTGCACAGTATTGCACAATAGATTTTTAAGACCTTTCGACAGTATTGCGCAATAGATTTTTAAGATCTTTGACCACAATTTTTTTGTGTCAGAAACCTATATTATTTCAAAAATTTGATCACAATCCAAATTCAGACAGTATCAAGCTTGAATATTGTGTCCAAATTTGCCCCAGCTGTTCAGGGTTCAATCTCTGTGGTCGTATCAGGCTGCGCTCAGCGAAGCATTTTATTATAGTTTATATATAAGAATAAAAAGATAGGGTATGATTGCTAAAATTTAACCAATCATACATTTGTCCTAACTGACTAGTAACAATTTATATATAAATGATTCATAATGTACATGTATATATCATCTTCACAAGCCAATGGTTACGATCCAGTCCCCTCCTCTCCACCCTTGGCTGATTAAGCTAACATTTGTGATTACAATGCTGGGCCATCTACTGGTAGATAAAAGTCACATCCATATCGACTACATCATTCTTGACCAATGGCAGCGCTTGAACTCTCTTCAGTGTGAAGTTGTAAAATTTGTTGTGTGTAGTGTTTACAAATTTTGTGAAGCAGGAACCGACCATATACATTGACATTCCACCATTTGCTCGAGAAACATACCCAGGAACTTTAAGTTGATTAAAAACTTTAAAATAGTCACTACATATCGTCCTATGTTTTTGGGGTAAAGACTTTGTTGCACAATCTACACGTGGCAGTTGTTCATTTACATTTTCTACATTTACACATTATCATCTTACAGGCCCTTTTTAGGTGGATGCCACCAATTGAAATCATTACCTTGTGGATCCGAAATTCTATCTTAATCCGCCAAGGGTGGAGAGGAGGGGACTGGATCGTAATCATTGGCTAGCAAAGATGTATGTATATAAACTATATATATGTATAAATATTCTTGAGTAACATGGTAAAAATCCTATGAGCAGTTTATAGTCATTATAGGACTGGAATAAGACAAAGAAACATTTACAGCACAAACATCATAAACATCGTTTGATAAAAATACATTTTTATCAATACAATCTAAGATTATAGTGTATTTGACTGGCTATGTGTTATGGGATAGTCTCAAGATTAACTGTATTGGCTCCCACTACTGAAGGATCATTGGTCAAAACAGCTGATTGAGAATCTATACTAGCACCATAACAGAAACAGCTACCCCATCATTCCTGATTGAGAAATTTACTAATGATCAGAGATTCTTATATATATATATATACATAGAGCATCATTTTCAACATAACTTGTATAATTTTGAAAGTGACTAGTTTAGGGTATGCCCTTGACTGTTGTTATGATTGAACTGTGGGTTTGATTACACAAGTCAAACTAATGTAGGAGGTTCATTGTCTTCCCCAATGCAAAAGTTCAGTACATATAGTTTTCTGAATTAGAGAGGTTTTGGTTTCTTTTTGTTACATTCTTGTTTTTATTTAAACACAAGTGAACCAACACCTGGTAAATCTTCTGTCGGTAGATTCCATTAAGTGGATACCTCGGGTATGCAGGGTCGTTACGATAAAAACATAAAATGTAGAAGGTCCTGTAACAACACTTTAAGGAATGCTCCAGTAATTTATTGAGATCGACATGTTTCGGTAGCTAGGCCACCGTCATCAGGATAGATAACAATACATAAAATCATGCTGAGGTACAAACTCTGGTTGAGAAAATTAAAATGTCACAATGTTGCTATGGTGAGTAACGTTATACAAACATGAGTAACGTTTAACAAACATTTTAACAACAAAAACATTGTATTTTTATTTTACTTTATTTTAATTTAATAGTTTACTTCTATATATACTTACTTTCACTTTCTCTTTCAATTGCTATTTATAACGTTACTCACCATAGCAACATTGTGACGTTTTAATTTTCTCAACCCGATTATGTACCTCAGCATGATTTTTGTCGAGCCTGCGACTTTTGTCGCAAAAGCAAGACATAGCGATCCTACATTCGGTCGGCGTCGGCAGCGTCCACAAATATTCACTCTGTGGTTAAAGTTTTTGAAATTTTAATAACTTTCTTAAATTATCCTGCATTTCAACCAAACTTGGACAGAAGCTTGTTTATGATCATAAGATAGTATCCAGAAGTGAATTTTGTAAAAAAAAAATCCTGTTTATCCGTATTTTACTCATAAATGGACTTATTTTTATCTGCCAGTTAACATTACAATTACTCTGTGGTTAAAGTTTTTCAAATTTTAATAACTTTCTTAAACTATCCTAGATTTGTACCAAACTTGGACAGAAGCTTGTTTATAATAATAAGATAGTATCCAGAAGAAAATTTTGTAAAAAAAAAATCCTGTTTATTCGTATTTTACTCATATATGGACTTAGTTTTTCTGCCAGTTAACATAACATTCACTCTGTGGTTAAAGTTTTTCAAGTTTTAATAACTTTCTTAAACTATCCTGGATTTGTACCACACTTGGACAGAAGCTTGTTTATGATCAAAAGCTAGTATCTAGAAGGAAAATTTGTAAAAATTTATTTCCTGTTTTTCCGTATATTACTTATAAATGGACTTAGTTTTATTCCAGTTAACATTATGTACAGTCTGCAGTTAAAGTTTTTAAAACATTTATTAGATTCATAAACCTTCTTGGATTTTTACCAAACTTGAACAGAACTTCTTACAATCAAAAGATAGTATCTAGAGGAAAATTTTAAAAAAAATTTTCCTCATTTTTGTTGAGCCTGTGACTAACAGCAAAAGTAGGCGAGACACTGGGTTCCATGGAACCCTTACGAAATTTATGTATTGTTTTCTATCCTGATGACGGTTGCCTAGCCACCGAAACATGTCGATCTCAATAAATTACTGGAGCATTCCTTAAAGTGTTGTTGTTACTTGTCCTTCTACATTCTTGTTTTTAGATGACGATGTCGTCAAAAAATGGTAAAAATGTCAGCAATACAAACAGATCTGTAGCACTATCAGATAAAAAGCAAAATACTAAAAGAGAAAAAAATATTGATGATACATGTACACCATCAAAATATTAAGCATTCTAGGAAAGCATGATCTAATAGACAATTTTCATATAACCAACTTTTGACTCCAGAGTTAATCTTATCTTTGGTAGGACATTCTGATACCTTGGTCAAGTAGGAGCAATGTAAATAAGTAAAATTAAGCCTTCAATTAATGCAATTTGGGGGGTGAATTAAATGATTTTTATACACATCAAGATAATCGGAAAACAGTAAACTTTCCCCTAAAATTGCACTGATTATATGTTTGATTTTACTTCTCTTGGTTGCTCTTACTTGACCGAGTATCAGGATGGCCTACCACAGATTAGGTAACCTGTTGAAGAGTTAAAAGTCAGTTATATGAAAATAGTCGAATAAATACAGATCCTGTGTCAACACTTCGCTTATAAGCTAGGATCTGACAACACACCAATCACCCTTCTGTTCTGTTTATTATTACATTGATCAGCTAATGAGATTTCTGCCTCCAAAATTGTGAAGGTATATGTGTCATTAAACAAACCCAGAGAATACTGAAGTTCTTTAAAATGGAGGGTACAACCAAGCATTGTCAGATCCTTGTAAGCAAAGCGTGGACAACGGAACTGAATGTAAATCCCATTTGGATAAATATCTAAAAGTTGTGGTTAACTATATCTGTACCAGTGGAATAACCCACAAATCTTTAAAACTCTAAAAATGGTGAATTATGTTTATGGTAGAAAATATATGATGTCAAAAAGTGGTTAATGACATATAATACAAAAATAATAAAATTAAGATCATATCATTTAAGTTTATAACAACTATAAAAATATCATATATAAAAATGGAAGTTATATATTTTGTAAAAAAAACATTCATGACCAAGTTGGTGTACAAATATAAAACATATATGTAAAAGTTACCAATAAAAAATAATCAACTTTCCACTCATTTAATATATTTCCAACAAATTACTAGTAATTTTCATACAAATAAGCAAATATGGCACAATCATAAATTTATAAAAAAAATCCACTATCTTTCTGTAAAACATAAAAGAAGTTAAAATAAACAAGAGTGCACACGCTGAAATGTCTCGCCTTCTTTACTAATCATTGATATTATGTTGATAGTCCTAAATATAAAGCTTTATTACAACTGTCACATAAATTTAACATTAACCAAGTAAACTAAACATTGACCAATGAACCATGAAAATGAGGTCAAGGTCAGATGAACCATGCTAGGCAGGCATGTACAGCTAACAATTCTTCCATACAACAAATATAGTTGACCTATTGCTTATAGTTTAAGAAAAACAGACCAAAACAC